GTGATTTTTTTTAAAATATAAAAACTAATGAAGTTTTCATGAGGTTATAATTTTTTTTATTTTTTGTTTTTTTCAAAATTGCATTAAATTTTTATTTGCTCAAAAATTGATTACTGAAATTACGCTCAGTTATTTTTACTTTTAATTGCTATACAAACAATTTCAAAAAGTAATTAATAAATTTTGAGCAAACTAAAACTCATAAAAATAGAATAAATTATGTATTATTTTACAAACAGTACTGAATTTATTTCTTCGCAGAAATAAAACTTTGTAATAAGTTGTAAAATAACAACAAATACTTTACAACAACAATTGTATTATGACATCATGTCTAGCAATCATTAAAAAAATACTACAAGAGACTGTTGACCCTTCGGAAATCTATCAGAATTTTATACTCTTTTCTGCAAAGTCTCTGCCATTTGCTTGAAAAAAATTTGAATCAGCACTTGAAATCACATTTGTTTATGATTGTTTATAAAATACGTGATCAGATATTTTTTTTGTTGGCATTAAAAATTGTAAAAAAAATGCAAATTTTCATGATTTAATATCTTGCAAGATTCCTTCTGCCACATTTTTAAAATTAGCATACATTTTTATTTGTTTATTAATTATTAATTATTATTGCAGAAATAATTTATTAAAAGTAATTTGAAAAAATGCTTTAAATACAAAAAAACAAAAAAAAAATCAAAAATTTCTAAAAATTTGACAGCATTGATTATTGAGTATATTCAAATAAACAATTCATACTATTTTTACATTTGAGCACATTTTTATTTTTTCTATGAATATTATTTTTTGATACTTTTGATCTAACTTTTCACTACTATCGAAAAATAAAAATAGCTAAATTTTATGATAGTTTAAGTTTGCAAAGTATGCACTGATCAAAGTGATATCATTTCATAAAAATACAAAAAGTGAACAGAATATTAACATAAATACAAAAACTTCTAAAGCGATACATTATTATAATAAAATAACAATTTTGAATAGTTCGCAACAAATATTTACTAGAATAAAAATTGCAAAACAAAAAAAAATTTGAAAAATTGGAAGACTTAAAGTTTTGTATTACTTTGGCTTAAAATAGCTAATCTAAGCATTATAAGAACACAACTTTTAATGCTTGCAAGAATTTTTTCAAAACTTTTCTAGAAAAGTTATAAATATTTTTATCATTCATCGAAATATTACAAATTCAAGACGATTACAAATCATATTCATTTGATCTGTGGTATGGATTTCATCTAAAATTGTTTATTATTTGAAAAAAAAACTCGTTTTGCAAAATTGAATCTAATTTATGCTTAACAATCACGCTTTATTTTTAAATATGATTATTGATATCCAATAAATTTTTGGAAAGGAAATAAATTTGAAAATTTACTCATCTATCTTGCCATTTAATTGTTTATTTATCATTGAATATTCAACTTTACTCTTCTTTGAAGTCATTTTGAATAATCAGTGCTTATTATCAATCACTGCAACTTTGTCAGTTCATAATCATAATCATAATCATAATCATTTGTAGCTATGATATGATTATTTCAAAAAGATTACTCTTTGGATTGACAGTTTTGCTCAGACTTTTTATAGCTTTTATAGCTGTCATTACTTATTACGACAAGATTTGATCATAAATATAATTTTTTGCATTAACATTCAAGTGTAAGCCAAAAAATGAAATGAAGTCATTAATAAATCACGAACAATGACGTGATATTAATTTATTTATGTATAGATATATAAACTGTTATGATGTCATGCACGTTGAAATGTTTTTCAAGCTATGGAAATAATCAAAAGTTTTATATCACAATGCATAATCACATCAAGTTAATCAAAATGCATAAATTAATTCTTAGATCACAAAATTCCAAAATATAATCTCAATTTGAAAAAAAATTGTTGACAGAGTAGAACTTTTTAAACATGTAAGGCTTGTGATTCACGGTGACGTGATCTCCGACGCAGCTGATATGCTTACGTGCTTTGCTGGCATATGATATTTGGAAATTAATAATGCATTTGTGTCTCACGTTTACTGATTACTTTAATGTTGCTCTCATCACTGGCTGATAGTCCATCAATTTCTTGTAAGTTTATAAATCTCTCTGGGCACTATAAAATATGCAAATAAATATAATAATCAATTTTTTTTGCATAAAAATATCATTTGAAAAAATATAACCAAAAAATAAAATATTTTTTTGGCTCAAAAAAAGAGATTGTTCAAAGTTACTTTATAACAAAATATTTATTAACTCCATTAATTTAGAGTTTTTAATAATTATTATTTGACTTTAATAAAAAGTTAATAGTTTTACCTTCAGTATTTGTCCTTCAATGGCAACCGAATGACTAGTTAGAATAACAAATAGTACTGTGATAAAAATTTGCATAATTTTAAAAGCAGACACAATATTTGAAAAGACTGAAAAAAACTATTTTAGTACCAAGCAGACATTTTAAAAAATTAAGATTTTTATCATTTAAATTTATTAAAAATCAATTTCGCGCGTTTATATTATAATTATTTTTACTTGCATCAAAAAATTTGACACTAATACAGAAATACTTTTCTACTTTAAGCTTATTATTAATTTACTTTACACCTACATTGCCATTATTTTCATGATTTTCGCATTTATTGCTATGCTATCTGTTTAACTAATTAATTTATCAATCATCAAATAACAATAACTTATAAATAGCTTCTAAATACTATCTGCCTAGTCAATCATGCAAATTGAATATCACCATTTTAAAGCAAAACTTGAATATTTTACTAGTACCTTACTTGTAATTACAATCAATTGATATTTTTTGAGTTCTTATGTATTACTTGTATATAATAAATTATAATATTAAATTTTTGAAATAAAAATTATGTTATCAAAGACGCTAATTTATGATGAAGCAGAAAAATCAGCAGTAAAAATTAGTGATAAGATTGGTGTTAGGCATGAAGTGATAATTAATTCGCATTTTATAATTAATAATTAAGTTACTGAAAAAGTGTTCAAATTTGTCTGATCAAATATGAGTATTTGTTCAATAATTTGAAAACCAGTGAACAAAAGATCATTTCTGAAATAAAGCAAAACAATGCAACAAAAAATGGTACAATATTAGTAATGATCGCTTTTAGTTATCAAAACTGATCATAAATACTGTTACTGTATTACAATTATCTTTTCCATTTTATGAGTCATTATTTTTAATTTCTGTCAAAAATGCGGTTGTTTTGCATATTGTTTCGAGCAGTATATTATGATATCAATTATTCTGATATTGATTCATGAAATGGAATACTTATCATAAGTCTGGGAAAAAGTATTCAAATAAAACAATATCGATTTGACTGAACAAATTGGCAATAAAAAATGAATTAAACATAATTTTTTGTCCATTTCTGCATACAAGCTTATCCAGCAAGCTTACACAATGGTCAAACGAATTACCAATAAAAAGACTTAATCAAAGAATAGATCATTTTAATTAGTATTTATCACTAGAGTGATTAAACAAGAATTACTTTAGAATCTAGCATATTTAGTCTTGTAGTAAGTGTAGATTAAACATCTGTTATGCATCAATGTAAGCTGTTAAGCATTAATATCTATGGATATTACTTGTTATGGCTAATTATAACTTACTACGAGATGAATACATAAACTTCACTAGCAGTAAATTAGAACACAATCAGACGTATATTAAAGCGACAGATAGAAGGAAAACATACTTTTAATTTATTATGAAAACTCCCGTATTAAAAATATATTAATTCTTTTTAAATCAATATTTCAAATACCACAATGATTATATAAGTAATATAAAAAATTATTTGTGAATTTTTCAATCAAAATTCAAATTATAAATTATTTTTCGTGCAAACGCTAATTGCTAAAAAAAATCTTAGAACAAACAAAAAAATTCTTGCAATCTTAATTGTATCCATGGATATTTTGGTAGTTTTCCAAATGTTTCCGCGCATTAAATGGTTAAATTTACGCCATTAACGAGTTGACGCAATGTAAGCATTAAATTATTTACATATTTTCGGCAAAATAAAAATAACATGTAGCAGTAGATGTATAAAGTTTAAGCATTTTAACAGCATAAAATAATAGAATTAATTCGGTATCAATAATGGCTTTGAAAGAAGTTTCATTTAGATTAGATTACATTAAACATATGCACCACCGCTCGTCTTCAATGTTTCAATTTGCATAATTATTGCTAATAAATTGCTTATGTTAATTTTTTAGCTTGAAAGTATTTGCGTTAACATAAATGATATCTGCATTAGAGTAAATTCCATAGATAGTCATTCTTTTTTAAATTTTCTCTGCAGTGATTTACCGAACAGCAACTTCACAAATACTGAAATATAGAAGTATTACAAAATTTCAGCAGTTTTCTGTTTCAAAACATAATAGCCCAACTGAGCAATTCATCGAAGCAAGAATGCTGTGTATTGCAAGCATTTAACGAAGAAGAATTTTGGACAAGCTAGCCTTTATTAGAATTATTTCAGTGCTGCCATCATTGAAACTGCATATAGAATCTTCATCATTTCTGCGCTTCCACTACATCACTAATTATAAATGATTAAGACTATTGTTGTGAGCATAAAATACACAGCAAAAATGAAAAAATTTATTGAAAGAATGAGGAGATATGAATTATTACAGAACAGAATGCATAGTAAATTGAACAAGTCGAAGTACATACTTGCAGGCCGAAAATAACTTAAATAATCCAAAATAATTCAGAAATAACAAAAAGGATGTAACAAATAATTCACCCATAAAAACATAAACCAATGTTTAAATTTTATTTGATCCAAGCATTACTGATGTAATTTCATTATCTTTTTAATTTCCCAATACATAAAAGTAAATAAATAGAACTTTCTACTATTACTTTCTTGATTAATTTTTTATAAACATAAGCCTTTCATTGAATAAAATCAAAAAATTTTATCGTCCACTTTGGATCGTACTAATTCTCAAACCAATCGCATCATGGCCTATTTCAGCTACCTGGCAGACGTCACATAAGTCGCCTGTAGCATCTGGTACATACGATGCACCACAAAACGGACATTTAACCTAAAAAAGTGAAAATAAAAATAGATTTGACAATGAATACATGTACAATACGACAGAAATTCGGCAATGAAACAGAATTTAGAATAAATTACATGGATAAACATCATTTCTCTTTTATTTATTTTTTATTTTTCTCTGCAGTGATTCATCATACGGCATACTTCACAAATTCTAAATTATAAAATCATTTAAAAATTTCAGCAGTTTTTCTATTTCAAAACATAATAGCAAAACTTTAGTACCAAAATGCTGAAAGGCTAAAACATAAAGCAAATGGTCTGGTGATGCATGCAAAAAAAACACTCTAAAAATAAAATAAAGTGTTTGAACACTATCGGTTTGCTAAAACGAATGAAAAACAATAGCTGAATAAGCCTTTTTTCCATCATAAACAAACCACAGTTAGATAGTGCTTTAGCCGAACTGTGGACTTCCTGTTTTGTGGATTAAAAATGCTGACTTTCATATCTGAACACTTTGCTATTGCTAAATTTTCTATTCACAACCATTTTAAACAAATTTGCTTAATGAAGGACTTGAAATTATTTTTATCTTCAATAGCATACCAGTACATCGCTGTTCCTCTTCACACTAAACTAATGTAACTTTGTTTTCGAACTACAAACTTTCTACTTTTTGAAAGTTTTTTGTTCCAACAAAAAAAAAATTTTTTAACATAAATAGATACTTTAAATGTTTTCCAAATTCTTGCCTAAGTGATGCAAACGCATCTCATTACTAAGACATCTAAACTTCGTTTTCCGAAATATTGTTTTATCCTTCCGAAATATTGTTTTCATCCTTCCAAAGACAATGTTTATAAATAAAATGCTTAAACAAAAATATGATTTTCTACTCACAAAAGTAATGTAAATTACCTGCGGCTTCCCACGATATAAAGGTTTGAATGTCCTCGAACAAACTACGAATGGATTATGTTCATCGTAATCCAGCTTTAAATGTAATTTTCATCAAACGATTTGAAAACATTAAAAAACTAAAAGAATTAAACTAAATGTCCAAGGATAAGATTAATAAAATTGTTCAAAGTCATGTTTCTGCATTAGTTGTTGAAATTCACTTTGTTTCATAATGGCTAATTTATAATAAAGTTCATTCCCATGAAATAAAAAATTGATATAATGACTTAAGTCAAATAATAAATAGAATATCAACTAACAAGTGTGACTAAATCATATCTTATTCTATATATATGCAAATTTACACTGAAATTTATGATGATTTAGAATTTGCACTAAAAAGAGAAAAAATAAAACCTGATGAGAATCAATGGGCTCCTTCTCAGCGACTGTTAAAACTTTTCGAATCTGTGCTGCAACTTCTGCTTTTGGTCCTGCAAACAAAAATTAATATTTGAATAATTAAATATTATAAAAACAAGGATTGAGATGTGCCAAAAACTATACCTAATTCAATCAATCTTCTACAAAATGAAGCACAAGTTTTCATCTGCTTCAACTTGAAAAATAAATTCACTGCGGTTCGGAGAGTCAATATTTGATGAGTCTGAAAAAAGGCTTATAAAGATACAGAGAAAACTTAAATGTTTTAAAAATATTATTCTGTTCCAACAAAAAGAAGTTTATAGCTCAGTACGTCTATTTATGTTTTAATTACACGAGAGTGTCTACCATATCCCACTACTACTTTTCATGCTTGTAAAACAAATTTTTCACTACTGCTGTTTTTAAATGCTATGCTGCTCAAAGTTACTTTTGCATTAACAGTAATTAAAAAATAAATTAACCGGCTGAAGTTGACAATGAGTGAAATAAGCAGCCATTTCGGCATTTCGTATAGAATTTTCAGCAGTTTTGGGTAACTCTTTTCGCTTGATCTCCATGAGCAACCCTACCAGATACTCTCGACAAATATCAATTAGCTGTCGTGCTTCAGCCATCTGTAAACTTTTTATATACAAGAAATCGTGAAGCATTAAAAATTCTCTTATAAATAGCATAATGATCTATATTATTTATCATCATAATTCACATCCAAATAGGGTAACAAATAAAAATATTATAACATGAAAAGTTTGAAATAATTTAACAAGCAGCAAGTCAACAATAATACCAACTTCCTGTTTGGAATCCACAATCAATAATGGAACCGATAGCAACAACTGACGTAGCTTTTCAACTGCTTCACCAAATTTACCACTAGTTGTAAGCTGATAACAGTTTTGTAAACGTGCAGCTAGATCGCCAAGATGTAAGCCAACAGCGGGCAAACCTGTTCGACCACTTGCATCTTGCCAATTACGTAAAAGATAAACGAAATTTGAACCAGCACTTGGTAAACATTCATAAGCAACACGTGATCTAAAGTAGCAAAGAAGTGATGTACAAAAAAAAAGTTGTTGAAACCCAGTTTGCCTTCATCAAAACCATTCATTGTCCTTGACTTCAACGCAACCACACATAATTAAAAGATTTCCAGTTTTTAATAATTTTCAATATACATTTCAGATTATTGAGCTAACCTTGCATATGTTAACAGAAACAGCTGCTTGAATGGATGAATGTGTGTAATACCTAGTTGGTCCCGTAATAAGCGAGCAGCACTTTCGAAGGAGCCTGAGGCAACGTGATCAGCAACCAGTCTCAAAAATTTAAATTTGATATTTGAACAAAAGCAGTACCGAAATATCTGGAGCATTTTTAATACTATAAACAATATTTAGATGGTAATTAAGAAAATTTTGAATAAAAAAGTATTATTCGCCAGTTTATATTTTGTGAAAAAGAAAAGTAGACACAACATTTCATAAAATACCACGAGAGCATACTTTTAAATCAAAACAACTTTAACATTTAATAACTACCTTGAATTACTAGGCCAATAAAATGATGAAGGCTGCCCACGTGACGGTACTGTATACAAATATTCCTCATCATTTAACCCAGCTTTCACTTCAACATCTGGTGGAAGGGCCAAATCATCTTCAACCTAAAAGGAAATTTTAGAACAATGACTGATATTACTTTCCGTTGAATGATTGAAAATGCGTAGACCGTAAAGAGTGATGAATATTCAGACCTTGCAAATTTTATTTCTCTATAACATGCATTTTTGTTTAAACAAGATTTTGATATTCTAGTTTGAATTCATTTCCAAAAAATAAAACTTACGTCCCAACCACCTTCATTATCTTTTTCACTAGCAACGCTATGCATTTCATCCTCATCGATATCTGGATTACCATCCTCATCAAGCATCAAATCATTACCGCCCCAAGCATTACCGGTCTACAAAAGTAAGTTGAATAAAACAAATTTTAGATCATTTAAAACTAGAGTACCTTGCATTCCATGTGTAAAACAAAATTTCAGTCGCTATCTACAATATGAAATCGATGATTTTTAATATTTCTTTCGAGTGTTTTTTTATTTTTAATTTTGAAAATGACTTGATATAACAAAGTTCATGCCATTTTTTTTACTTAGGAGGGAGTGAAATTCTTGTCAACAAATTCTACAAATATTTTTTGACCTCAATATCCTCATCTTCCACATGCATGAAAGCGGCTGAACGAGCTGTTTTATCACCACTACCAGGCAAGTTCCCAGTGAATAAATGAGAATCAAATGGACCTCGCGACATCGTAAGTAAAGGCCAATTGTTTTCCAACTATAAGGCAAAAAAAAAAAACAACGAACATATACGTTGAGAAAGTTTAATCCATTATGGAAAGATAAATGAAAATGTTTGTAAGAAATTCCTTTCGTAATTGGACAACGAAAAATTTAGTTTTTCTCGGTAAAATAAAAACCTGCTTAATCGGAGGGGGTGGTACTAACAGCCTAGCATTGGCGTCGACTGGAGGTAAAGCTTGTCCTTTGGTGATCAGTTCATTTTTCAATGAATCGGCTTCATCATTAAACCCATGAGTAGCAGCAGTCAAATATGCTAATGAAAGCTGTCCGACATCCTTTAAAACTGAAAAATAAATTAGGCAAATACAGGTCGAAAATCACCAAATTTTGCCTAGGAATGGAACGGATGCATGAAATACCTTTAATGCGTTCTTCAACATCGCCGAGTAAAAGAGCTATTTGATAATGTCCATTTGTATCCTGAAGAATATTTAGGTAGAAGATTAAAAATAGCGGAGAAGATTAGTAACCAAAAACAATGCTTTTTGCGAAATTCCTGGATTTCTGAACAGATATAGAGTACTTGCCACTGTACTCGTACCTACAGTTCAAAAAATTTTTCGATTTCAATATATTCACATTTAATGGAATATAAATCTATATGAAAAGCAGCAATGCTAAAAGAAGTTGGTGGCAAGAAAGTCCAATTATGTCTTAAAAAAATTATATACTAAATTATTTGGTAGTAATAATCCTATCATACCTTTCGAATTTGTGCAATTTTCATCATTTTTTGAAGTTTTTCCATGTTACCAGTGATTAAATATAAGAAAGATAATTTTTCAAAATCTTTCGTGCGTTGATAAGCCATTTCAACAATCTTAAAAGAGTTCTTACTGATTTTGACATCTTGCAGTTGACAAATAGTCTCAGTCAAAGGATTTTCACACCTTCTGTTTAAATCATTACAATATGCACAAGAACGTAATAAATATGATGTTAAACAAAGTTTTTAATTACCTGATGATTACCCTGCATCAAAGCAGCTTCACCAAGAGCTTGCCAAACAGCTTTATTGTCTAGAACTTTAGCTGCTTCTAATGCGACCTAAGTAAGAAAACACTGACACAACGAGCATTCACATCAAACTTTGACAGAAACGTTTTATTAATAAATATGCCTTAACTAACTATTTCGCTAATGTTAGCAGTGCAGAAATATTTATAAAATATTACTAAAATATACCACTCACATCAAGATTACCGCACTCCAGTGCTAAACCAAATCGTGTTTTCTCATCTTTTACAAAGTGTAAAGCGACTTCTGGATAACCCTTCTTTTGCAAATATGCAATAATTGATTGACCCACTAGATTTGCTGAACGCACCATATTTAACACCTAAGGAAAAGCAAATTCATTAACATATAGTCTTGACATTAGCTAAAAAATTATTTCTGCCGAAGCTTTTGGCTGCTTTATTTTCAAAAACGAAATTCATGCACTGTCTCAAAATAAACTTTAAGCACGAATTTCTTAATTTTCTGCACTTTTAAACGCAAATTTTCATTTTTTGACAACCTCATCATATCTACGATTAATAAGTGCCAATTTGAAGCGATATTCCGTAGGATCAATAGGCAACTCAACTGGAGCTGCTTCTCTGGAAAATATGAATTTTTGAAAATGTACAAGACTCCCTACATTGGTAGTACTTTACTTTTTTAGCTATATTTGAAATTGACATCATAAATTTCACTTTTAAAGTACTCTTTTTCATCAAAAATCATGTCCTGAAGATTTAAAATACGCGATAAATACAGTGATTTATGTCTTCTCAAAAAGTTTCCATAAAAATTAACCGATTTAGGCAGTACAGACTTTCTCCACGAACAGCAAGCACATATACAGGCATATCTAACGTCCTAATTATACCATGGTCACCCGCTGTTAATGCATATTTAATATGATTACTTGTCGTGTACAGAAAAACACCACCTTCATCCCACGCACCACTTTTTAGACGTGTTGATTCTTGGACTGAACACAAAATCTAGAAAACAAATATATTATAAACGATTACTATCTATTTACAAACATTGGATAAAATTAACTGCATCGCCCAATGATATAAATTAAACAACGTAGATGCCTCAAATTTCTTAAAATTTTATATTAGGTGCTTTAAACAACAATCGCCTACTTACTTGCAATTTGCGCGATACTAAAGTTAAAATGTGCTTGCTAAGTAATGCCATATATTCCATATTTTTCGACCAAACGACATATTTTACCTGTCACAAAGTAATAAATCAGCAACACACACAAAAAGACTAAAAAGCAGAAACAAATTAAAAATTAGTAGTATTATTATTGTAAAATCATTTTTGAATTTAAAAATAAAAACTCAAACACAGTTTATTATTATGCAGCGTTGGTTTACATTCAAGTCTTCACTAAAATTTAAACAACCTTCGGTGCTTTAACCGACGCTAGAGTTCGTTTTTGTTGTATATCAAAGAGCTGAACACCTTCATTATTTTTCAAAAGTAAAAGCCCAGTGCCTGCATAAAAAATATCATCAATTGCGATATTCTGCTCGATTTTCTTATTCTCATGATTTGACAAGTCTCGAATTGTAATCTGAAGAGATATTACCATTAAAAAAATCTTCCTCTAACCACTAAAATATTTTCACTGATACATTAGGCGTAAACATAGTATCTGTTTCAAAGACCTGTTGATTTTTGTCTAAAACGGCAAAGCGGTTTCGTGCGACCCACACAGCTGCAACACCTGGAGAACGTTTCCCTTCTATAGTTTCATTAGAAGTATCTGCTACATCTTTTGATACCTATACAATCAACAACGCTTATTTCAATTTCCGTTTGTTTTGAAGGCAAAATTTGATTAATGGAACAACTGACATTGCTATATAATATAAATCGTATGAAACCGTGGTAAAGATTTAAATTTCACTACGAAAATAACAAATAGTAATAACAAATTAATTTAGGAAATACTTTGTACATATCATAAGTACAGTATTCCAGCATTGATGAACGTATATTTAACAGGAATGAATTTTCAGCTGGATTATAATGTAATGAATAATAGGGTTGCATAAATTTGTTACCACGAAGCTGAACCAGTGATACATCTTTGCTGAAAATTCTAACATGTAACTTCTGATAAATTTTTGAATTTCGATTTGTGCTTTTTGTTTAGCACTGTAAAAAAATTTTCTGCTGAAAATATATTTTTTTGCAATACCTAACTTTAAGCGTTTTTCATGATTTAGGAGTATATCTTCTTAACTTCCATTCCTTACAAAACATAAACCGAAGAAACCAACTTATTGGTCAAGTCTAAACGTCTCAGTTGGCGATCCTTTATATAAAATACTAAATTTTCATGCACAGAAAAAGCTGGACGTTCACGCTCAATTTTGAACACCATCATTCCGCTATCATGACCTGCTGCAAACATATTTAAAGTTGGATGAGATGTCAAAACCCAGAAACGATCATTATCATGCCTGAAAAAATGATTTACTTAAAACATTGACAAATGTAAATACCACTCTGTCACCTTGATTTCAGTAAATTATGGAACATCAGAAACATTACTTCACATTAAAGTAAAAAAATATAGATTAAAGCTCACAAAAGCTGATGTAAGATTTTTTAGTTTTATAAAATCATCGTGAGAAATGAAAATTAAAAATTGATGAATATGATAAAAAATGACCAACAGATGAAAAATTTTTTGGTTCCTGTTTTCAAATTACCTAAATGTATGCAAGCATGTACGCTTCTGCATATCCCAAACACGAATACTTTTGTCTTCCGAATTACTCAGTATCAATTCCGCTTTTGGATGAAAGAGTACTGATGACACATTATTATAATGTCCGCGGCACGAATCAACCTACAAACATAAAATTGATAAAATATAACAATTTTGACAAAAGAAATAAGCATACATAATCCTTATCAGATAAAAAATTGTACTTAGTATCAATTCCGCTTTTGGAGAAACATTCAAATGTTAATAACATAAATTTACCTCCCAAGCTTTGCTTTCATTATAACGCCATAATTTGACCTGCCGGTCATCTGCTCCCGAAACCAGAAGTGGCATTGACGGATGAAATGAAACCCAATTAACACCTAAAAAACCTCTGCTCATAAACGATAAGCTTGCAATAACATAAAGCATAGCCTCTCTATTATTGTTAAATCTTCAATTCGTAATATTATGTTCGAATAACCTCTATCATGTCCTTCCAAGACATGCTTGACAACAACGTCAGGTTGTCCGAATAAATCGGTAGTTGCAACACCGCTGACTGCTCGTACTCGTGAAATGTCTGCGCTAACTCCTGGCGAAACGTTTTTCTTTCTTAAACCAGATATGTCCCAAATTCGAACTGTTTGATCTAGAGAAGCTGATGCCACCAAGTCATCTTTCGGATGAAACTGAGCACACATCACGTAGTGATTATGACCTGACAAAAATTAATTTCAATGTAAATAATAGAATTTCATGAACCGATAACCTTGAATTATGCAATAAATTTGAATATAAATTGGGATCAAATAAAAGTTTTAAAATTTAATGACGTAAAAAATTATAGGAAAATGATTAGCAAAAAACAGCTCTGTAGAAATGCAGAAGAGCTTTTCTATATGTAAATCGAAATCAAGACAACTTAAATTTACCAGTCAAAATTGCAATGCTGTGACGGCTTTGCCAATTCCAAATTCTCACAGTTTGATCATCTGACGCACTGATAATCCATGGATAATTACTATGGAAAAATGTAGTACGAATGTAATCAAGATGACCAAGTAAAGTAAAAATACACCGACGCTGCTTGTAATTCCATACCTTTCATTTTCATAAATAAGTGGAAAAAACAGTTCAATACAAAAATTAATAAAGTATGAACAAAGTAAATAAAGGACGAACACAAAAGTTTTAATCAAATTGAAGCTATTTGTTCCTTTAAGAATATAATTCAGGATTGTCTTTCTGGAGATTGCAAGCATGAACTAATAATCTGTGACTAATTATGGAAATCGAAACAAAATGCTCAGCTAAAAAAACTAATCTAAGAACACGTGTTTTTTCATTACTGACTTTTCGTAATTGTATCCGGATATAAATGGAAAGGTTAAAATCGCATGGTATCATTTAGACTTAATTAAAATGGCATATTTATTTCGTGAAATCTACCTTGATTTTGTAATCATCACCACCAGAAACAAAAATTGGCTGCTGATTGTGGAATGCTATACCACGAACTGGACCATCATGCTCGTCAAATTTATCAAGCATAACACACATCCGATAATCCCATAACTGAATGATACCGCTGTGTAATGATGCTAACACCCACGGTCGTGTAGGATGAAATGTAATTCCTGGAATAAAAACAGAGAATTTACAAAAAGATTTCAAGAAAACTAATAAAAAAATTCATCTCACAATAGTAGACATCAAATCTGATTATTTTAATACGGCTAATTAAAATGCAGGTAGCGATACATGAGGATCATATATGGGAATTTGTGGAGTCAAATACCGAGTCTAATTCAATACAAAATTTTCTGAAACCTAAAGCATACGACAAAATATGAAAAATTTAAGCTTATAATATTTTCATTTTATTAGAAATAGATGAAAGAGATGCCAAGTTTATAAAATAAAAGACAATATCTACCTTTCACTCGCGCAGAGCTGGACTCAAATTTTTTCAAAAGTGTCATCCTTCCTCAACCCTGAAAATGTGCTCAATTACAGATGATTACAGGTACTTTTTTTTACGTGAGCAAATAATACTACGTATGAATATTGCCACTGAGTAATGAACATCTTGAATAATATACTTGAATAGTTAGTAAACGCTTATGTAACAATAGACCTAATAAATATTTGATAAGGCCCTATTTCACGTCTTATTTAAAAAACAATTCCACAGTACAAGTAGAAAAAACATAAGAATAAACTGCAAGCAGTGAATGAAAAAATGCTACAGCTACCAAACAGTGATTATAAACCATTGGTCATACTGCGTTATATAAGCTGAATCACGCACAAATTGACATATACTCAAGACGTCAATTTACAGAATATTCAGCAATAAATGCTGAAGTAATACAGTTGTAAACAAGGAGTAAACCAGATATAATTTTCGCTAGACGTGGAGACGTGGCAATCACACGCGGTTCTGTGGCACGTAAAATTGATTCAAGTATGAAACAAAATAATCCCACAGTAGATATAAAATGAAGGCAATCTTTGATGATATACTCCACTTGAAATTACCTTCTTGAACAGGATATTAAATCAAATTCGATTTCGAAGGTTAAAATCACAATCACTTTTAATTTACCAGTAAATTTAGCAAACAAGATATTATCGTAATCCCATCTCGTTGGCAGTCATTACTAATTACTTGGTGCTTATCCAAAATTTGCATTTTTTTTTTCGTGTTAGCTTGACAGCCATGACTGCTGCTTGGTAAATAAATTAAAATTCCGTAAATTTGAAAAAGTCTAACAATTATGGCACCATTATTCTAATAAACTGAACCTTACTGCTTGACCTCGTTCTGATTGCTTTATTTTAGCTTTTATCAACTTTTATGCAATGACCACACTCCAGACCAACGTATTATTTGCAAACTTCTGTAATCATTAATAGTGGATAAGTTTATTATAAGTTGCTGTAGCAAAAGCAATATGACAATGAGTGATTAAGCTTAAGCATGCCTTTTGAGTGCACGCTTAAACTGAAGGTGCAGTTAAAAAATAGGCTTCAAGTCTTTTCTTGGGATGCTAAAGCTAAAATGATAGTGTTTGTGATAATGACCATTATGTACTATTATGTCCTCGACTTTGCTGTTTGACCTCATTTTCACTGCTTGTGGCATTGTCAAAGTTTGAAAATTTAGAGCAAAACAACATTACGTGAAGAACTTTATTGCGTGAAAGTGATTACAATATAAAACAAATTATGAAACCGTACAATGTTTGAAATTGTGATATACTTCTACTACTACAAAGAAATTAGGCACACTAAAAAGTAACTCAATACATGAAAATAACAATTATGACCTTTAAAATCAGAACTAGTAAAAATCACTTTTTCATCAGTAGTAAAGATTTTTAATATAATGACAAAAACGATGAATATATTGAAACTTATACAACGAAACCTCATACTCTGCGTTAAAATAAAATGCGGACAATACCTCAATAAGCATATCACTGAGTACAGAATCCATATACGTACATGATTTATAAGCATCCTAATTAGGAAATTTTACGTAATAACTATGTTGCCGTAACTAAGCTATTATTTAGAATTTAGTCATTTTTGAGAATTATTTCTTAAAAAACTCAATTAACGTAACAAAAACAACAAATAATAATTTCATAGCAGTTGAAAAAGGATGCTTGTAAATTACATAACATATGCAAGCGTAAGTACAAATGACACGTTCTTGAATAAATAAGTACAAAACTATAAACAACAATGACAAACAATTGAAGAGCGTCTGAATAGATTACATGAACATTCACTTTAAATTACAGCGTCTGATAGAAATCATTCATTATTAGAGAACTTCAATGAGAGGTTCTAAAACTGGTCGGAACTTCTTGCCCCAAGACATTTTCCGTCTATACAAACGTGATCTCCTACCCGTAACTGCCACTGACTCAACTCCAATAATCACTTCATCGACGTCTGCACAACTTACACTTCTTGTCTTCTCGAGTTGATTTGGCACTTTTCTCTTCACACCCTTTTCTTCATCTATTATTATTTCACGGTCCGTTATTTTCTGCTTACAGCAATGATTTCCTCTTTCAATACTTTTTCTTTCCACTTTATTGTTATTTAAATTTCCTTCACGTTGTAAGGCGAATTCGCGATAAACATCGGGAAGAAGTAATGAAGTATCACGTTCATCACGTACGATTTTCACTGATCCGTTATTTCGTTTAATTTTCTAAAATAATTTAAGCGAAAACAAAGATTACTCGCTTAACATTATCGAAAATTTCCAAAATATTCAACATTCATATGTTATAACTGAAATTTTCTACGAATTTGGTGCTAATTACTTGTTCGAAAGATATTAGTTGTCGCCAGAAGAAAATGTCCGGTTCAACTTTTGGTCGTACTGAAGCCAAGTACTTGTATGCATCACGTAATGTTTTAAACTGAGATTTTGTTAGCAGTGCAAGGCATACTGTAGCACAGCGCGATGTTCCTTGGACAGAATGAATCAATACTTTATCACCTCGAGAAAGTGCTGTCAGAATCTTCAATACTAACTGTTTTATTTGATTAGTTTCTATGCGCTCTTTCTATTTTGTTTTGCCAAAAAATATTGAAATTGGAATGATTTGCATGAAAAAAATTGCATTATTTGTATTTAAGCAAAAGCGAAAATTTGCCGAGAATTTGCTATAATTTTACATTTTGGCATATAGATTCCATGTACGATACAGGCCATGGTCGATGTCCATTCTTCATCCATAACTTCATCCATACGATTCTGTCAAGCGAAAGTATGTTAGGCACCTGTAATGCTAATGAAGTACACAAAAGGTTTCATTAATCGTATTTTTCTTTTTGTAAAAGCAATCAATAACGATCATAAGAAAATCATAAATCTTTTAAAGAACTAATCAATAATTATCATAAGAAAATAAATCATAAGTCTTTTAAAGAGCAAAACGTTCGTGATTATAAGTTATCTACTTGATATCAAAAATCAAAACAAACTTATTACAAGGCTGCAATTAGAGTAGCAAAATAGATGATTGTGATTATTTGATAGTATTTAGCATCTAAAACTGTTTGAAATTTTTCAGAATTGCATTCTTACTTTTACGATGAAAAGTATGTTTGCTTGTTTTGTCATTAATATTAGAAGAAAAATCTAGTAGGATTCATTTCCGTGAAGTAATTATTTAGGCAGTTTTTTCAAAATCTTAACATTTTCGTCTTAATTTTGTTTTTTTTAATCTGTTCCACTTAGCAGTAAGCCAGTTACACATCTGTCAGCAAATTATAAACATTTGATGATAGATTTAGTGATAAAAGTAAAATTGGAGAAAAAAATACCTTTCAAATATTTTCAATATTTCAATATTTTTTTAATTTCAAATTATTATCAGAAAATAAGTACAAAATGACGTAGTAAGCTTTAAAAGATATCGCATGCATTATCTCATATTCTTCTTATAACGAAGTCTTGATCTTGGAAGGAACTTTGACCATTCTTAATTTGCATAATTATAAAAATAATAAAAACAAAATTAAGACGGGAATGATAAGCTTTTGAAAAAACTGCCTAAATAAAATAAAGATTTAATATTTACATGCCGATCAGCACAACCACGTGATCGTTATATACTAAGGAAGCAGCCATTTTTTGTGAAGTCAACAGAATGATTGTTTTTTGTGAGAGAATTTGATAACTTAGAAAGAATTAAAAAATAAAAACTATGACAAAATGATAATTACATACTTCACTAGTTGCATTAACAATCATTGTGATGCCATGTTCTTGAATAGTTGCTGGTTGCAATGCACAAATTCCGCTCAAGTATAATCCAGGTAGAACCTGTGATATTCCAGCGTGTTCTGTGTTTTGAACATGGAAATATATATAACGATCACGTGGTTGTGTCGATCGTTCGCTGATCATAATTTATTTTGATAGCTTTAACTGAAAAACAAAGCAATTTGCATACATTCTATATAACAGTTAACGCTGCATTCTTATGCGTGAAAGCATCATATCCATCAAAATAAGAGCACTGAAATGATTTTGATAAAGCACGTCAATAAGTACTGAAATGTTGAAAATCATTTCAGGAAATATTTTACTTCTAGCAATATAATATTATTTAAATTTAATCAAATTTTGCTTCAACACAAATTCTTTGAGTAATGATTTAAGAGTTATATCAATTTCGCAGAACTGAAATATCTGAGGATTTATGAAATAAATATTTGTTTTGCTTTTTTAATGGAATCATATATATACGATTATATCTTCAAGGCAAATAAATTAAACTACTCGTCTAGTGAAATTAATATTCAACAATTAAAATCTATTCTTATCACTTTGGAATAACAAAAGCAAAGCTCAAACATATTTGTTTCCATTTCAAACAAACAAGTTTGAAAGGTACGTAATAATTTTTCAGTTATAATTTTTCACAAGTAATTTTGAGCTATGCTTGAAAAAAAAGAAAGAGGTTCTTGGTTTTGGTTTCTAAAAAGAAAAAGATTCTTTTGGTCTGTGGTTCTCCTTTTGCTAATTAACGAGCAAATACTTGATGATGTTTAGATCCGAATACTTCATATTATTTAAAATAACAGATAATTAATTAGAAAACTGGGAAATGCATAATTTCTAAGATTGAAATAAGAACTTATTAACTTGTATCAAAAACAAAGTAATGCTCAATAATTTTGATTAATATACGAAGAGATAATACTGAAAAACTGATAGCTCAAATTTTCAAAAAAGTCAAATAAAAAATTATAATTGAAGGATTGTTATATATCTTTCAAACTTATTTGTTTGAAGTGGAAATGCAAAGAAATGTGATTCATGAAGCATATGGAATGAGAAATGGTCAATCATAAAACTTGAAGTAAACAATGTATATTATTTGATCTTTTCCAACAGTTGCTCGATGTAATCGAGAACCCATGATCAGATAAGAGCATAAGTTAGGTCATAAGTTGATGTAAAAACATGAAAAGACAGAAATACTAACTACCTAAGAAAAAAACGAGAATAAACTAAAGCGAGACATAAGTAACTTTAAATTAGTTAAGTTACTCAGAAAACTAAAAGTTGTAAAATTTTTCAAATATATTTTCATTTTTTTGCTGGTTGCTTAATTTGAATTACTTAAATCTATCATTTCAGAATATCAGAAAAAGGAAAACAAATCAAAGATTGTTCAAAATTATCATTTTCAAATTATTTATTATCAATAGAAGAACTTTTGAGCCTTGAAGAGTTTGTTCGTTTCAAATTTTTAGTTCTAAAATCAATCAGAGTAAAATTTAAAAATTTTAGCTCGATGCAAACTGTATGCAAATTTTATTCCGCTTACTAAGATCTAAAATATGATCATTAAATGATCTCAAAAATAATTTCAATTCGATATTTTTTTTCAAGAATTTTATCATGTTTTATCCATTCGAATAATAAATGAATCAATTTTCAAAATTTTAATTATCACAGTGATATTGCTCGAATTTGAAATATATATTCGTTTAGAAGGCTTAAAATTATCAGAAGATATTCACATACTTACTAATATATTTTATAGCAATATATTAACAAATGCATAATAATATTTTTTGATAATTTATTGTCAATCACAAAATTTGAAAAATCAAGAAGTAGTAATCCCATTTAGATCCTTACTTTCCTATCCATTGAATTTGGCTGCCTATCTTGCAATTTTATTTGTAGTTATCACAAACAGATTTGCCTAATTTTAAATTTTTTTCAAGAATTAAAAATTTTTTTCAATCAAAAGTTATAAAATGTTTAATTTATATTTTGAAAGTTGGAGTATTTTACTCAAACATATCAAAATGTGCTCACAACTATGCATATTAAAATGATTTATTCAGTCAAATTTTGTTTGTTCAAATAATTTGTTTACATTTTTGTACTAAAAACACAAAATTTTTACAATAAAAAAGGTAAAAAAAGTGCTATTTAGCACTTTTGACTTACTTTTTTATTAATAATCAAAATTTTCTGTAAAAATTAAACAGTTCAAAGTATTAGCTCGAATTGAAATTGAGGCAGCAAGTAATCAAAGAAAATTGCTAAAAGATTTGAAAATTCATATTTGCAAAAAAGCACGAAAAGAAGTTATCTATATCCAAGTATTTTAATAAATATTACGGTGCAAAGGTCATTTTAAGTATTCTAACAAAAGAACAAAGTTAACTTGCCAGGTGCAGTTCTTTCTTGACAAGATTTTGATGGTATTTGTAAAATTGATGCATAATGGATAGCATTAAAATACTACTGCATGAATTATTATCACTAATAAAAATAAGTAATAAATTGTTAGAATTTTCTGTACTTTTTGACGTATATATTTTGAAAGCAAAGAATAAAAATAATTTAAGTAAGTGAAAATTAATTTGCTAGCAATTTTTATTGCATTATTCGAGCATAAATATTCTATTTATTATTTTTATTTTATATTTTATTTACTTTTAAACCGAAAATATTTATATTGTTTGATTATTAAATGGCATTTACTATTTGCGCAATAAGCAATAGTTAACGCAATTTATTAAGAATCACAATAAATGAGCAAATAATAACTCAATAATAACTTAATTTTATTTACAATCATAATTACAATATAATGATAGTGAATATGAAAGCAAACAAAATAATGCACAAATACTTCAATGTGCTCAATTTCAAAGATTAAATATTCAAATTTGAAAAAGCTAAGTGCTTAAGCATAATTAACTACATAATAGCAAAACTGCAAAAATTAATTAATTAATTTTTCATATTTAATCGATAAAAAATTTATTCAAAAAATATAAGGTAAGGTATTTATCCAGTTGACAAACTTTAATATGCAAATTGCTGATTATTTCGTCAAGCAACGAAGCTGATTAATGTTCAGAATAATTGAAATTAATAAATTAATATTAATTGAGAACAGTTAACAGTTGGAATTAATAAATATTATTTTACTAATTCTTGACGAAGTAAAGAGTATATTTATTAATATAAATTACAAATTAATTTTTATTAATATAAATTTGAGCAAATTCCAATATTACGATCAGTGAAAAATTTGCTATATTAATCAAATTTTGTTTTTGTTTTTTATATTGTGAATTGTTTAAGTCTTGCAGAAGCAAGAAATGAAGCCTCATCATCCGTCGAAAAAATGCAAAAATATACGACATTCCATAATTATTTTTCAATTCTGCTTGCTATATTGTTGTTTTTTTTCGCTTGCAAATTCATTATTGCTCGCAAAGTCATTTCTAACGTATTGCTACCCATTTAGATAGCTTATATATTGCAAATTCTGTCATATATAATTAGCATAAAGTTTGTAGAATGAGATTCTAATTTGATTTAATAGATTAAATATTCTAATTTTTGATTCTGTAAGGAATATTGTTAGAAGAAAGCTTTGCTTTGCTATGATATTATCCACTGCTATTGTCGTTATGACATACATTAAAATTGCAATAATATGAACATTGCTTTTAATTGTAACTTCAAAGCAAATTATTTTATCATAATAATAAATAGTTGTAATAACAGACACGACAATAAATTCAAACAGAGTTGAAAAAGACAATAAAAACTTATTTAATACGTATGATTCGACTACAGAAGGAAAATGAGCGCAACAGTTAGCACAAACTGATTGTAATTCATTGCAGTGCATTTATTTAAATTATCAAGCGATACTTCGCACAGAAAGCATTACAAAGTATAAATTTAAAAAAAAAAAACACGTTTATAAATAATCAAAAACAACACGCATTATAACAATTTATGTAATATTATAATGTGAAGGAAATGTGCAAATTTTAGTACTCAAAAAGACGTTTGCTTATTAAATAAGCAAACGTCGTCTGAATGATATTATTGGTAAAATTACTTGCTGTTTGTTTGTTTTATGTATGCAAGTTTTTCAATTCTTGACAAGCTTAAAATAAAAAGCAATTAGCATGAATGAATACAAAATAGCTTTTTAACGATTTGAATGATTTGCATAATTCCGAGCATACTTTTCCACAAGCTGATGATAATATATGAAAGGTTTTTGGTATTAATATTTATATATACAAAGTGATACCATTGTTGTTGTAATCATTTTGCTCAAACAAAATGATTATGACACTGCGTCGACATTTAATAATTTTTTCATTTATTAAACAGATTTTGGTGATATGCGTGATATTGACGTTAATTTTTATTTTTATGTAAATATAATTAAAGTATGGAAAATGTTTTGCCAGTGAAAATAATTTTTAACTAAAGATTAAGTCAGTGAAGGGACAAAAGTAATAGTCTCTTACTATGAATTTATCATCATGCGAATTCATTCCATAAATAAGTCAGTCATTTTTTCTAGAATATTATAATGTCTCATTAAGTTATTAATATTTTCAATGAGTTTTGGT